AAGCTATTCTCTTTCAAAGCTCCTTCTTCTTCAAAATCCAAACATAACAAGTGATTGCCCCATTAGATCCACATGAAAAAGCCACAGAGATGCAAACTTTATTCTTTCTTGAGCTAGATCAACATGATTAGGGCTTGGATCCACAAGCTCTAAGCCAAACAATGCTTCCTCAAGGAAGTCCTTTTTCCACAATATGTACCAAAAACTCACTAAATCACCAAAAGGCTCAAGAAACACTCAAATGGAGACTTAGGGTCGATTTCTAGGGCTTAGAGGGATGGAGGTTGAAGATATTAGGGTTAGGTTATGAGATAAGGAGCTTAAATATGGTCCAAGACCCTAAAATAGGGTTCAGGTCTGATTAGCGAACGTCCATTGTACTCTGAAGAACATTCACGACCACCCCTAGTCAGTATGCCCAACGTACTCCAAAGTAGGCCCAACGTACTTCCTTCTTCACTAGTACGCCCAACGTACTTAGCTAAGCCTGCAACCACAAAACTTCTTAATGCCATAACTTCTTCGTTATAAATCTATTTCCAAAGATCCTTATATCCACGAAAAGGTAAGGATAAGCCCTACACTTCTATCAACTTTATTCCTCCTGAAGCCCACTCGAACTCAGATCCAAAATTCATGAAAAGTACGCACCATCACCTTTAACAATACATTTGGGCTCTAAAGCACAAACTGAACTCTTTTATCACACAACCTACCTTACCCATATCCTAAAAAGGGCCTAAACCTATATCCTTCAAATCCTCAAACCTTCTCATACTCGGATTAAGGCCGACGGGCCTTAAATCACAAAACAATCTGGAACAAGATGTTACATGTTGTTTGTGGTGAATTTCGTTAGAAGTAGATGTTTATATGTCCACGGATAAGGATTTTGAAACAAAATATGTTCAGAAAAACTTCAAAAAACATAATAAATCTCGAAGGTGGAAAAAGTGGGGCTATAAGGAAGGATACATTATAAAAAATTGATGTTCAAAGAGGTTTTTGTTATGTTTTTTGCTCTTATTCTTCTATTCTTATTCTTTCTATTCATAACTAATGATGTTCATTTTTATTTATAATCAAACTGATTTCGTTATTTTATATTTTCTATGTAACCAACCCGAATATAAAGATGTTTCTCATGAAGGTAAAGAGAAAAGGTCAAAGAAAAGAAATGATAAAGTTATGTGTTATAATTATAATTGATTGTGGAGTGATTTTTTAAATGAAATTATATTTTGTAGTTGTAGTGATTTATTTATTGTAGGTCTAATTATAAATGATTATATACATTTATTTATGTAGGAAACCAATCTGAATTTGAAGACAATTTTCCGCAATCTAAAGAGAAAAGGTCAAAGAAGACTTTTGATAAAGGTATGTTTTTTATAATCATTAGTAAGTGTGTGAGTTAAAATCATACTTTATTAATCATATGCATTTTTTGTGAAAAGCAAAGTCTATAAGTTTTAGAGAAAAAGTCTAAGATTAAAACTCACAAGGGTATGTTTTTGCAATCATAAGTGATTATGTTTCTTCATTTGTAACAGAATATATGTATTTTGTTTTTTTTCTAACACTATGTGTGTACAAATATTTGTAGTTAAAAAAAAGATAATATTATAATGAAGGTATCAATAAAAAGCTCAAGGTAGACAAGATTATCTTAAAAAAAAAGGTTGATGAAGCAGTTGAAACCCAATCAAAGAAATCTAAAATATTTAACAACAAAAAGACAAATCGGTAGTTAAGGAAAAGAAATTAGTTTTAGAGAAGGTTAAAACCATAAGTAAGAAACGTGAACTATCTGATAAAGATCATTTTGATTTTAAGAGTTGTCCTGGATCTTCAAAGAAACCAAAGAGAGAATCCAAAGTCATTAAGAAAAATAAAAAAGTTGATGTAATAAAAGAATTTCTTTTAATGAAGACCAAATGCTCTCCTGGTTCATTGTTGGTTGTTATCCACAGTTTAAGTAGAGAATATAAGGAGTGTGTTAAGGCTATGGGATTTGGGAGTTTGTTAGGGATAAAGATGATTGATGTACCGTTGAAGATTGTTTATTATGTTCTTGATCATTTTAATTTTGAAAGTTTGAGTTTGGAGTTTGAGAATTGTCATGTAACACCCGATTCTTAGTATGTATTTAAAATCATAATTTATGCACTTTTATAGAGGAACTCGGCGAGTTAGAAGCCCCAAACTCGTCGAGTATGAATTATTTGGGACACGGGTTAAGAAACGTACTCGACGAGTTGAGAGCCTCAACTCGACGAGTAGGCTTGCAGAAATGAAACCCTAATTTTCATGGTTTTGCACCCTATTTAAAGGCCTTAATGCTTCATTGTGGCCTCCCTCATCGTCCCCTTAGTCCAGAGCAAACCCTAATCGTGCATCTTTCCCCATTTTGAGTGTGAGTGAGCCTTAAGAGTGTTCTTTGATGTTTTTCTTGAAGGAGTGTGAAGTTGGTGGTGCAAGGTCGAAAAGAGAAGCTTAGATCCGAGATCCTTAGTGTTTTGGCAACCATTTGGAGGTATAAAGTCGATACCTTGACTATTTATTTATTAGATATCTTCATTGTCACTTTTATGGGGGGGGTTTTGGTCCAAGTAGCATGGTCCTTGGGAAATGGACATCCCAAGTGCGTATACTTCTAGATCTTGGACCTTGGAGGGATGTCATGGCATAAAAGTGCAAACTTTATGGCCATTGGAGCCCCATGCAAGCTCTAGGATGTCATTTTGGCCTTTTATACCCCAAAAGGCCATGCATGGGGAGAAAGGCAGAGACTTTACATGTTCAAGTGGTGTCTAGGGTCCATATCTCAGTTTATATGCCTTAGCTTGAAGTATAAATGGCTTTTAGATCAAGATCTAGGTCTTAAGGAGTTAGGGTTTAATCTAAACCCATTAAGAGAGGCTATTAACGGGTAAAGTTGGAAACTTTACCCTTAAAAGGACATTTTCAGTATATAGATGAAGTATGGAGCCTAGATCTGAAGGATAGAAGCTTAGTCTATTAAGATGGCTTAACAAGATGAAGAACTCGTCGAGCCCATAGAGGAACTACATAAGTTGGGTCAAATGTCATGATTCTGTAAAGGGAAAAAATTCAATGAGTTTAAGGATGACTCGACGAGTTGATTGGAGAAGTCCTGATTCTATGGATAGGAGGAACTCGACGAGTTGAATCGCGATTTCAAATTGTTATGATTTATGGAGCTCGGATAGTTGATGGGTCAACTCGGTGAGTTGAGTCAACTCGAAATGTTGACTTTTACCGTAGGTTGACTATAACCAGGGTGTTGACCTTGACTTTGACTTTGACTTTGACCAAAGTTGACCCTTAAAGGGGTCATGAGTATGAAAGGGTAATTAAAGGAAATATTCTATGTGTAGGAGTTCGAGTGGGATTGATTTCAGATCCAAGGATAGTTCAACTACTTCACAACGTTTGAGGTGAGTTACCTTCCAGTAGGAGTGGTTCGAAGGCACCAATGTTGGTCCACTAGCATTTGATTATAGTTGAGATGATTGTCTTTGTGATAATTGTCTGGTATGTCACTATCTATTATGCTTTATGTTTTAGTATGTTATGTTATTATATGATAGTGGTATTAAGGGTAGGATTGACCTTGTTACCGATTAAAAGAGATCGAAGGAGAGGCCAACACCCAAATATGCTAGGTAGTATGTGATTAATGTGTGTATGCTAGGGTATTATGTGGTAGTAGTAGTAGGGGTGAAATAGTCCCCGATTACCGGTTAAAAGAGACCAAAGGAGTATGCCATCACCCAAATATGCTAGGCAGTTACCGGCTGAAAGAGACCAAAGGGGTAGGCCAGCACCCATATATGCTAGACAGTTACCGGTTGAAAGAGACCGAAGGGGAGACCAACACCAAGATATGCTAGGCAGTATGTTATTGTATGGTATGTGGTATGGTGGAGGAACTCACTAAGCTTTGTGCTTATAGTTTTCAGTTTTGGTTTCAAGTACTTCCTCTTCGAAGGGAAAGGAGTCAGCATGATCGCAGCGCATCACACTACATTTTCCGCACCAGAGATCTTTGGGATTGTTACTCTGATATTGTTTTATCATGACATGTTTTAACTATTGATACTTTGGATTTGATATAAGTTGATACTATGGTTTTTTTCAGACAAATGGTTTTATAATTGTTTATTTAAAAATGAAAATTTTGGTTGTAAATTTTAGGATATTACATGTCAAGTGAGTATTAATAGCAAATTTTTTCATGAGATGTTAGGATTACCATTCGGTGGTACATTACTTTCAAAGTTGGGTTACATTTCCAAACATGATGAAGAGAGTTGTATGTTTGAGTGGAAGAAACAATATGTAAGTATTGATAAATTGAGATTGAAGTAACTAAAGAATGAACTTGTTCGGACAAGTGCAGCAAATTATAAATTTAGAATCAAATTTTTGGTTCTATTAATTAATATATTCTTTCTATCTACAAGCATGAGAACATGTAATTTGAACCCATTGTATGTAATCAAAAGGATATTGATTTAGGTAGCATTGACTAGTGTAAATTTATTGTGGATTGTTAGATAAACATGAATAAGTTTTAAACCAAGATAAATAATCATCCAATGGATCAGCAACATACATTATGGTATGTGAACTAGTATTTAATATTTAATCTTTTTTTAGTTATAATATATATGTTTTTTATTTTTAATCATATAATAGACTATATAATCATTAATGATTATACAGTCTAATATATAATTATTCATATGTAAATACAATATATTATGTCATATATGAATAATCATATATGATTATACATCTATTTATGATATATATATATATATATATATATATATATATATATATATATATATATTGTAATTGTTGTATATGGATACTTTCAAGTTTAGTCATTTGCAAGTTACATGTAAATGTCTAATAATTTTTATTGGATGTCCGAAAGACCAGGTTTATTAAGGATATTTTACAAGAAGATGGTGGATTTGGTTATGAAGAGATTAATGAAACATATGTTGAAGAAGAATACTAAGAATCTGATGGCAATGAGGAGGAATCGGATGCTGATGAGGATTCATCACAATGAGGATGAAGAAAATTTTTATGTTAATAAAGTTAAAGTTCTGGAGGTAACTTTATAGTTTTTGTCATTTATGATTTCAAAAGTAACTAATCATGAAGATGATGGTAATGATTATGGGAATGGTTTTACAAATGATGACGATGTTGATGAAGGGAAAGGTGGTGGTGTTGAAGCGAATGTCAGTGATCCGCACTTGAGGACCAAAAGGATAAAAATGATGCTCAATATAAAGTTGATGGTCCTAAAGTTGATCTTAATGATCATGCATATGAGGAACATATTAATAAAATTAATAATTTGTTGAATGAGAAGGATAATGATAAAAATGATAATGTTTTTAGGAAGGGAAATTTTGGTAATGAAGATGATGAACAAGGAAATACTAGTTGATTCAATGAATAAGAGGTCATGAATTTGAATTCGATAGTTGAAATTTTGTTAAGAGTGTTGGTCTAGTTGATGGTGTTGAAGGCGATTTTAATGATATTCAGGAAGGTATAAGTTTATGTGTGACCCAATTGTTGAAAAGTTTCTTAATAATTTGGATCAAGGTAAACATTTGTTTATATATATATATATATATATATATATATATATATATATATATATATATATATATATATATATATATGATTTTAATTTTGTGTTTTTAAATATTATAGGTAGTGAGAATTTGGTTGAGTGTGGTGTAAATCAAAAAGTAGCTAAAGATTATATGAAAGACATTTTGATGGGTAAGTATTTATGTATATATTATTTATGCATAAAAATATATATGAATATGGTATGTATATGATTCACTTATGATTTTAATAATTTAGGAATTATATATTTGTTTGAGGATGATAGAAACAAAGAAGAAATTTCATATGACACTGTTAATAATGTTACTAGAGAAATGAAGAAAGAAGATGAATTAATTGTTCTAAGTTTGGTTAAATGTTGTGTTGAATGTGAAGTTGAAAATTATAAAGTAAAGAAGGATGGAGAAAGTGTTGTAGAAAGTAAAGCTCGTTTTGGTGACACGGATTTTGGAAATAGGCTAGAAGGTGATTCAAATAAAATTCAAGATGGATGTAACTAGTTTATAAATATTTTTTTATTCACATATGATTGTGTTTAACAAGATTTTTTTATGTTTGAATAGTTTTTTATTTATATTCATTTATGATTTTAAATTGTAAGTGCAGAAATTGCTTTTGGTATTCCAATTCTTTGTCCTAATTCTTTAGAGTATTGGTATGATCAAGATGTACATTAATGCTATTTGAAGGTAGTGGGCGATTAAAACAAGAATGAAAACAAAATAGTAGAGGATTCAAGTGTTAAATATGGATGATAGATTCCATTTTATGCATCTTTTAGGGTAGTTTTTATTATCATTCAACATCATATTTTGTACATTTAAATGTCATTTGTTTAAATGATGTTAAGCTCAAGTCTTTTATCATAATTCCCGTATTGCTAGCATTTTTGTGTCAATTTCAGAAAGTTCGAGTGAAGCAGTACTTTGGGGGCAGTTGGATGCATATTTAGAGCCTACATGGATTTAAAACTAAAAGAGGATCTTGAGGAATGTTTGGAAAGAATTTTGTTCAATAAATATTTGATCGATCTGATCACACGAAGATAGATTCCACAATCTGAAGCTAAAGGATGTTGCTGAAAGCATTGACCATATTTTAGTATTTTAACCATATCTCATGAATGGTAACTCTGATTGACGAAATTTGAAATGCTATGAAAACTAGATATGATTTCTGAAGACTTTCATGTTTATGGAAAAGGCCAAATCTGCGATTACATAGGTCAAAAATGCAATTGCAGGTATGATCGCATGTTTTTCCTACGATCGCATGTTTGCCACGAAACTTCCCAGGGTCAAAATAAATCGTCCGGAAGTCATATAAAGTAAAAACTCCAAACCTGCGATCACATATACCCATACCTGTGATTGCATGTTATCAAAAAAGCCTAGATAAGCAATGTTCATCTTTAAATTAGCCTGATACACATTTTTAAGAAAACCTACGATCGCATAGGACCAACCTGTGATCGCATGTTATCAATTTCTTTCTATGGAAGTTACCGTCTTGAGTATAAATACAACTCACATTATCAGATGCAGAGAGGAGACAATTCTACACGAGAAAACCACTTCTGAAGGCGATTTCTGATATCTTTTAGTGACTTTTGAAGATTTGAAAACTACGTATCATCTTACCCATTTAGTTTAGAAGATTGATTAGTGAATGTTTATTTTATCTAGTTTTAGTTTGTTTTTGTCCTTGTCTGGCTAAAACCTTAGTTTTCAGTTTTGCATAGACTAGTACGTTTCACATGATTAGTTATCAAATCAGATTTTCATTTTGGGTTTCTATCGATATTTTTCACTTTTGAACTTATTGAATGTTTGGTTTTAATTCTTATTAGTCTGATCACATAGCTAGGGTTTTTATCATTACCGTTAATCTATTAATAGAATTTGTAATTATTCTTGTCAACTGGTAAAAAGTAACAAGTATCAGATTTGTTCGATTTTGGGATTTAACTCTGGTACAAACTGTAAAAATCATATCTTTACACTTTCGAGCTTGTAATAAGTGTTGGATATTGCTGGGAATTTACACATAACATAAAGTGGCTTTTTTGATTTGATTAAGAGCTAATTTCATTAGATAGTAAAATGTTATGGTTAATTCAAAGAGCTTGTTTTGGTTAACTAATTTAGGTAAAAGAGATCATACTAGAGCTTATTAGTTTTTCTCAGTACCAGCTTAGATAGAACGCATTCCAAATAACCAGATCTGAACTGATTGCATGATTAGAAAAAGTTGCAACAGAACTGAAATTGTTTTTATTATTGATTTTCGTTTAATTTAATATCACTGCAAATTTTAGTTTTTTCAGTTTCATTTAAAAATCCCTTTTTTATAATTTCTGTTTTGACTAGAATATGCCTGACGCAAAAGGCCATTGATCGTTAGGTTGTGTCCCTAAGGATTCAACCATGCTTCCATGTGCCATAATTTGAGTGCAACCAGTAACGATAAATTTATTTTTCTTTAAATCGGGTGCGACAACCGGTCTAACAAATTTGTGCCGTTGTCAGGGACACGATGCTTTCTAATAGTTCTATGACTAGAGTTTTTTGTTCAGGTACACCCTTTAGTTTTTTTATCCAGAAATTGAAAGAATGGCAGGAAAATTGAAGAAAGAAGCAACAAAGAAAAAACTATCAGCTGGTCTCTTTGGTTCATTAGCATCCTTCTTACCATCAGAAATCACCACACCATAAGGCAGTCCTTTGTGGAACGAACCAGATCCGGATTTTCAATCTTTTTTTAAAGTACCCCTTATCTTCTCCTTTAAACAGCTAGTGTAAAACATACTCCCCACCATCCTCAGTCAAATCTGAACCTATGGATTTTTCCGAATCTGAATCTGAAGAGTCAAACATGAGCGGAGACGAAGCAGAAAAGACTCTCAGAGAGTAGGCCACTCAAGAAGTTATTTAGCAGCCCCTCTACATCATTTTGCTAGAAGCCAAGAACTTCGAACTCAAATCTAGGCTGATTCATCTTCTTCCCACATTTAGAGGTTTGGAAATTGAAGACCCACATAAATTCCTTAAGGAATTTTATATGGTTTGTTCAGGAATGAAGCCGCATACTATAACTGAAAATTAGATAAACTTAAGGGCATTCCCCTTTTTAGTTCAAGATTCAGTAAGAAAATGGTTATATGAGCTCTCATCAGGTTCCATCACCATTTGGATAGAACTTACAAAGCTGTTCATAGAGAAGTATTTTCTAGAACGCTAGTTTTCAGTCACTGAAGTGAAATCCTTGGGATCAAAAAAGGAAAAATAGAAGCTTTACATACTTATTAGGAAAGGTTCAAGAAGCTTCTGGTACAACATGGGATCAACGATTATCAGCTCTACAACTACTTTTGTGAAGGGGTGACACCCATGGAGAGGCGCCTTATAAATGCTTCTAGTGGTGATTCCTTAAGAGATATGACACTAACTGAAATTCGGGAGTTGATCCAGAGATTGGCGATAAAGTTAAAGCATTCCGGTAATGAAGACGAGTGGTATCCAGATGAACCAATGGGTGTTAAGGAAGTTAGCAATGCTCATCTAGAGTCTCAGATATCTGAACTGACAAAAACTGTTCTGCTCTTGACAAAGGAAAAAATAGTTGCAAAGAAGCCATGTGGAATCTGCTTGAAGAAGGAACATCCGACATATATGTGTCTGTTATGCAAGAGGATGTTACTTCAGTCAATGCTTTCGGAAGATACTAGCAACAACAAAAACTTTAACCAACCTCCTAATTTATATAAGAACAATAGTTTTCAACCAATGCAACAATTTCAACATCCTCCAAGTTTTCAGCAGCAGCCAAATTACCAGCCTAACTTCCACAATCCGAATCAGCAGAATTTTAAGAGTTTGAGTGTTCAGAATCAGAACTCTCATTAGCAACCCAACAGTTTCAATGTGGCCTTATAAGCTATAGTGAAGAGTCTTGACACAAGTACCCAAGCATTCCAAACAGAAACCAGAGCTAGTATCAAAAATCTGGAACAACATGTGTCTCAGCTTGCCACTTATGTGGGTCGTTTGGAATATCAAGGAAAGTCGTGACACATAAAAAACAATCTAAAGCACAATGTGAGTGTTATTTCCTTGAGAAGTTGGAAAATTTATGAAGGCTCAAGCGCGTATAAACCAGAAAATGAAGCTGAAGAAGAATATGAAGAGGTTATGATTGAAGAAAAAAACGAAAAAGAAATAGAAAAAGAAGTTGAAGAGTATGAAGAGGTATTGGTTGAAGAAGAATCTGAAAAGCTGAATAAAAAAAAAGAAACTCAAATACCAGTCTAACCAAATCTGAAAGAATACAAGCCTTTACATCCATTCCCATCAAGATTGAAGAATACGAAGCGCGAAAGAGAGGATGATGACATCATGGAAATCTTTCACAAGGTTAAGATAAATATTCCACTTTTAGATGTTATAAACACATCCCTCATCATGCCAAGTTTCTGAAATATTTATGCACTTCTAAGAAAAAGATGAAATTTAATGAAATTATAAAAGCTGGCAAAAATATATCTGCCATTTTGAAAAAGTGTTTACCTCCAAAGTGCAAGGATCTGGGGATTTTCTCGGTTCCTTGTAAATTAGGGAACCTTAATTATTTAAAAGCCATGCTTGACCTTGGTGCATCATTCAATGTCCTTCCATTTTGTGTTTTTAAAAAATTAAAAATGGGAACTTTACAAAAGACCGGGACAATTATCAAGTTGGCTGACCACTCATAATACACCTAAAAGGTGTATTGGGTGGATGTTCTTGTCCAAGTGGATAATCTGTTTTTTCTTGTTGATTTTTACATTATGGACATGGGTAATTTGGAAACTTAATATACAAATTCTATTATTTTGGGAAGTTCATTTATGAAAACTGAAAAAACAAAAATAGATGCTTTTAATGGCATGATTTCAATGGAGTTTGATGAGATAGGTGTTAACTTTAAAATTAATGATGATAATTTTCATTTTGATAATATTTTTGTCAATTATCTGGGTACCAACAATCCTTTATCTGAGGGCTGCTATGACTTCTCTAATATCTCTATGAATGGAATATTTGTAAATAAGAATTTATCAAACATGTCATAAGAGCTGAAAAACAAAAATCTTTAGGAAGAAGAAGAATTAACTGTTGAAATGAAGTAATCTGAAGGGGCTAAGATAGAGCTGGTCAGAGATAAGCTTAGGGAGCAAGAAAAGAGGATTTCTGAAATAATAATAATAATAATAATAATAATAATAATAATAATAATAATAATAATAATAATAATAATAATAATAATAATAATAATAATAATAATAATAAAGAAAAAGCGACGATTTCTGCTAAGGAAGAATCAGATAAAAATCTGAAAAGAAAAAAAGAATCTGAAGAGAAGAATTCTGGAAAGCAGAAGATCAGAAAACGAAAGAAATCAAATCATCTAAAAGACTTATCTGAAGATGGTATGAAGTCTTTCCAGTTTTCTGAACAAGTCCCAGATCCACCCATATTGCCATATCTAAAGGGATCTAGAGTTACAAGGAAAAGAGTTGAGCTTTAGAGAAGTTCCAACCACACTAGTTAGTTAATCTGGTTGGGCGAAGTTAAGCCAATAACTTTATAAATGGGTAGCTTTCCGGGAAGCACCCTGAAGAGTAGGTTTTAGTTTTTTT